CCCCCCGGCCCGCTCACTTCCGCCCGGTGCACCCGCCACACTCGCCCCCGCTCACTTCCGCCCGGTGCACCCTTCGCCCCGCCCCGCCCCCCGGCCCCGCGGCCGCTCCTCAGCGTTCCGCCAGCTCCCAGGCGTGCTGCCACACTCCCATCATGAGTGATCATCGGGTTGGTGGGGCTGTACCCCCACCCTTATGCCATGCATGAGCCAGCAGAGTAAAAGAGTTCAAAACGTACAATAGGCAGACACGAGTCTTTGGGTAAACCCCATCTCTTCTATTCAACCCACTCGAATAGTCAGATAAATTCTTCTTTGCAAGCTTTGGCCGAGGAGGTGCCTGTGCTGGATGCAGTGGGAAAGCAGTTTTTCCCAACTATTGGAGTGGGTCTAATAAAAGAGATTGGGTTTACCCAAAGCTGCTGTAGACCTGCACGGCTACAACCGGCACCCCCAACACGTACAATCGTATTTGAGTGAATTGATGCAGTAGTAGGTGCAAAACCCAAGTTGTTCTCAGGAAGTCTAAGCTGACGGCTGGGTTTGCTGCCAGGTATCCAGGCTGTAGCCGCGTCGGTGTAGAGCAGCGCTTCCCAAACTCTGCCAGATTGCAAACCACCAGGTGTATTTATTGTAACGGGCGCATGCAGGGTGGCCATCATAGAGAATAGTCCGCTTTTCTGCTCCTCTGTCCTCTATTGATACGAAACCCAACACCTTTATGTCCTCTATTCTTCTCTTGAAGAATATATGTATTTATTTATTTATTTATTTGCAAGGCACAAGCACCCTTCATCAGCACAGGAGATTGCAAAGATTGTAAAAGTCTCCTTTTTCTTCTTTAAGGAAAATTTTTCCGGTTCCAAGTTTTCTCCGACTTGCCAGTGGGAAGGAAAAAGTTTTGCCTGGCACATAGTGGGCCTGCTTATCAGCTTGTGCAAAGTTGAACCTTTCCTTAAGACAAAAAAAGTCACAGACTCTTAGGACTAAGAAATCAGTCTTCTGAATATGAAGGCCCACAGCACTGCTGTATTAAACCTGCCATCGGTCTGAAACCAAAGAGAAGAGAATTACTGCCCAAGTGCAGGGGGGCTGGACCCCATGATCTGTAAGGGCCCTTCCAGCCCCTAACATCTATGAAACTATGAAACCAACCAAATCAATTCCCAATCTGTGAGTCAGTCAAGAATCAAGTGTGGCCCTACAACCAGCAAACACCCTCCACCCCCGTCTGGGGCTTCATATGTTTCCAAATCCTTTGGCGGACACCCTACATGCAGGATCCAAGGCCCGGGAGCCTGGACATCCTCCCAGGCCCAGGAGCTTGAGGTTCGGATGCCCCCGAGTTTTGCTTGCCCTCACCCGTATGGCCCGGGGGCAAGCTAGGGAGGAGTCTCCCATTTCCGTAAAGTCGGTGCGTCGCTGAAATCCTCCCGCTGGAAGCTGCCCAGCAGGAAGGTAACTATGAGGCTCTTGTACGTAGACTGGTCTGCAAGGAGACAAGGGTGCAATCCTCCGTTACACAGTGCCGTTTTAATTGTATTACCTCAGTCAGGGTACTTCCCCTGCCACCATCATGGTCCTGGTGTTTCCTCTGCCAGGTAAGCATCAGCACTTTCTTAGGACTGCTGGCTTCAAAATAAAAAAATGCTTCAGCTTGGAGGACCCATTTCTTACTCAATCACTGGCGAGTTATAGTGAGCAGTATAAAGTACAGGCACCCCCCGCTTAATGCTGTTTCACTTACCGCTGTTTTGCTATAACACTCATTTTAAATTGATACCTGATTTCACTTAGCTCACATCGAGTCCTGTTATAACACTCGCGGTCGCCACCTTGGGTTGTCAAAAACTTTCTGTTTCACCTAACTCTCGTTTCACTTAAAGTTCAGTTTTTCAGGAACCAATTAAGAGCGCTAAGCAGGGGTTGCCTGTAAATAAGAAAAATTCTTATTTGCATACTTATTTTTTTCAGTCTACAATAGTTTTTCAGCAAATACAATCATTTTGAACTTCCAAGACGATCATTTCATATTTAAGGCCAGGCAATGCTTCCAGGGTGGGCTGGAACAGGGCTGTCTGACCTACCTCAGCCATAGATCATGAGTGGGAGGAGGCTGTCAGGCTGTCCCAGGGTCCCCCGATACCTGGGCTTCCCCAGTGGTGGCATAACCCATGGGGTCATGCTTGTGGGTGTAGTAGACCATTGTCTGCAGGGGCCGATCTCCGACCCCAAAGCAGGAGCCTGCCCTGGAGGGAAACACCCCAGGCTTTTAGTGTGAGGGCTGCCACCAACCCGGCCTTGCTCTTCATGGTGGAGCGAGGCACGGGGACAAAGGCTGCGGTGTGTTAGCAACCCTGGGAGCAAGAGCTGGGCAACTCACAGACTTGGCAGTTCAGGGGCTGAGCTGGAAAAATAAAAGATCATTTAGCGTTTACCCAGGAGGAAGATGCTGAAAATAAACAAGTTCTGGTCATTGAAACATGAAGATTAGGGTTTAGGTTATTTAACTGTTTTCTGCCCCTTTTCTCCTTTGTCATCTTCATCCCTGAATGTTTTCAGTGGTTCTGAAACTGCCCCTCTCACATGTGCCGTCTGCCTCTCCCCCCCACATCTGCTTCTCCTGCTCACTCCACCTGTATAAAAGCCATGAGCTGTGTCCAACTGGCTTTAAAAATGATGAGAGAGAAACTAAATAAATATAGTTGCCAGCATATTTGCTTTAAACACCAACTTTCCTTTGCAAAATGAGGGCAAGAAATATCTACTTTTAAATGCAAGTGAAATCACAGGAGCTGGGGCTTTAAAGAACCGCCGTGTGTTGTGAGACTGGGGATGATGGTGGGACACTCAACTGCAGGCTGTAAACTCATGTTTAAAATGAAGAGAAAAGAGAAATGGAGAAGTAGCTCCTTAAGCAGGCCACAGTCAGGACAATTTTGGGATTCCTGTCACAGGGGCTCATTTTAAGTGTGGGAGAGGTTATTTACCAATTAAAACAAAAACAGCTACTTTGAAAATTTAAATTAAAATTTTTCACAATATGGTGAAGGCACTTACCATATTCACATTCTCATTTTCCTGAAAAATTAGATTATTGTATCTAACAGTTGGGATTGCCATACAGGGATGAGTGCAAAGAAATACTCTGTTGCCAATACAAGATATTTCAGGACTGTCCTTGGACAGCTTTTTTGCCTCAACTTATTGCCCCACAATTTTTCAGGATGGTCCTGAATTTGGGGGCTGTGTTCCTATAGAGTCCCATAAAATTAGTTCAGAACCAGCCAGCCCCATCAAATGTTACTGTGATGGTAGGCAACATCCTGCCACCTCTACTGCCCAGTTGTCATGTCTAATTTGCTCTGCCTCTCACTAGATAAAACATTATCCTGGCATTGTGGGAATGTGGCTGTTCTGTTGCTGGTTCAGCA